ATTTATTAAGATTAAACCCATTCGGTTCGTTAATTTAAATTTTTAATTCGAATTAAAATATGATATTATGTGAAAATTTTTTACTGTAATAAAAAAATTAAATGTAATTATTTTTAAAAATTTTTTAATATAACAAAATTTAAATCAGCAAAATGAAGTAACTCTTAATTACAGGAATTCTGACTGCAGCCATGAAAGTGGGGCTCCTAATCCAGCGAGCCGAGATCGTATAAAATTATTGTTGGTACCAAAAATAGAGCTTTAAATCCAACGACCAAAGATTAACGAAGGTACAAGATCCAACGGTCAGATTAACTGGAGAAACAAGGGAGTCGCGGAAACACGGAGCCGCTCTCGCCCAGAGTTTGGAAGATATTCCCGTTCGACAGCCCCAACGAGTAGGCCCCACTTTCCCCACCCAAAAAGAAGAAAAAACGTTCCACCGTCAAAACAATTCCCATTTTTTATTTTTCCCTTTAAATAATAATAATAATAATAAAACACTCATAAAAAACTCAAACTCAACCATGGTTTGGCTTTTCAAACAACTCGTCACTCAAAACTTAACCCAATTCCCATGTCCTCATATACTACACAACTTTTGCAGTTTCGCAACCCAAACTAAGAAACCAAGAATTTGCTTTCTTCAGAAAAAACCACAAACAAAACCAAACTGAAAAAAAAAGAAACTATATACTTACTCTCGCACTTCCCGAGGTCTCTCAACTTTCTTGCTTCTTCTTCAAGAAAACCATCCAAATCCTAGATTTATTCATCATTAAGTTGTCAAGAAGAAAATCTTCGTGGGTCTGATCTGCTAAAAATCTTGATCATCATCATCATCATCATCATCATGAGCTGCAACGGGTGCAGAGTGCTTCGAAAAGGTTGCAGCGAGACGTGCGTACTGAGGTCTTGCCTGCAGTGGATCGACTCCCCCGAAGCCCAAGGGCACGCCACCTTGTTCCTCGCCAAGTTCTTCGGCCGCAGCGACCTCCTCTCCTTCGTCTCCTCCGTCCCCGAACACCAACGTCCTGGTTCGTATATCACCAAACCCATTTCACCTTCTCTCTCTCTCTCTCATGAAAATAAATAGGAAAAATCAAATCCGATTTTCTTTTATTTTCTTTTTTGGTTTTCTGTAGCGTTGTTTCAGTCACTCTTATTCGAAGCGTGTGGGCGGACTGTGAACCCGGTGAACGGCGCGGTGGGGCTTCTCTCGAGCGGGAACTGGCACGTGTGCCAGACGGCGGTGGAGACGGTGCTCACAGGCGGAGTTCTGCGTCCGATGCAGGGGGTTCTGGCGCCACCGCCGACGACGATGGCGATGTTCGATGAGTCTTCTGCGGCGGGGAGGTGCACCGCACCGAACCGTCAGTACTATCCGTCGTCGTTTTTTCTGAAGCAGGATCAGGCTAATTTCCGTGCCTCGGTTTCCGTGCCGAATCGCAGAGGAGGGAACACGAGTGCGATCGAGAGGCTGCGAAGAGAGCACACGATCTCACTGAGTTCTGAGGAATCGGTTATGACCACGAGCTTTGGAATCGGTGACCGAAAGGAACGGAAGCTTTTAAATCTTTTTGTCTGAATATGAGCACTAATATGTATACATAAATATATATATATATATGTTATATATATATATATA